TTCTTACTCAGTTGCTCTTCTTTATTTCTGGAGATAAATCAACAGGTAATTCTTGAAGAGGGTGAAGATGGACATTTCTGGGCCATTTGAGGCCCAGCCCTAGTTATTCCCTTAAACATTCTGCAGAAGGTCCATTTCCTTAGTCTTCTTCTACAATGGTCAGTATTTTGCCCAGGAGGCCAACTTGAGTTTGTCCGAGGTGGCAGTTGGATGGGTCCTGGTCCCATTTTTTTCCTTCTCACTTTTGTTGTCTATGTTGGAAAAGAAAAAGACACCATCCAACAAGCTGCTGTGTGCAAAACATCTTCTCACATCATCTAGGGAGGACAGGAGAGGTGAAAGAAGGAGAGAAATCCCAGAAGCTGGGAAACTATTCATCCTACAAACCTTTAGAGACAAAGCTTCAAATCTATTTCCACAATAAGTCTTCTGAAGTAGGAAACCAACTATCTGGAAGCCAATTTTCCCTAACCTACATCATCTTGAATCTGTGCAACTTCTATGTGTAGATGAAGTTCAAAACCAAGGACATTGGTTTTGAACTTCATTTACACATAGAAGTTGCACAGATTCAAGGACATTGTTGGTAACTCCACAGAGCCAATAGTCAAACAAGACTGACTATGCAAAATTGTGACCTAGGGTGGAACTCATTGTATACCTCTTCCTGGTAAGACAAATACTTGGGTGCTGATAGGAATTCTGGCCTTTGGTCGTTTTGATGCTGCGTTTTGATGCCAGGTTGAAGAAGGTTGTTCCTGAGTAAGCATTGGGCACACCCATGCAAACATCATAGATCAGGGTTTTCCGATCTTGGCAAATTGAAAGTGCGTGGACTTCAACTTCCAGAATTTTCAACAACGGCTTTGCATCCAGTTATATGAACTAGAAATTGTCAAGGTTGGGAAGCCCTAGATAGACCTTGTAGATATTTGAGAACAGGCAGATGCTGGAACAGTGGAGACACTCCTCATGCTTCCTGCCTTCTCCCCAATATCTACTTTTTGCACAGGTCAATCTGCAACCTGTAACAATGTAGTTCCCAAGCTAGTGTGCCGTCAGATGCCATTGAATGTGTAAATAATATGTAATTAAATCAAGGGAGTGAATGAGAACATTGCTTGTGTTTGAAGGATGAGTAATTCTTCTTTTACAGATGGAGTAAAGCAGTGTTTTGAGAGAGCTTTTGTTCAACTCAAGAGTGGTTCTACACAGGGGGAAAAAATCACTCTGTGATACTTGAAGAGCTTGATTTCCAAGAGAGTTTTTATTGTGCTCCAGAGAGTGTTTGGTAAATGAGTATTATTAAAAAATAACCTAAAGGACAATCTCGTTACTTCAACAGGTCTATTGGAGAAAGAGAGAGACATCTTCTTTATGTGGGAGTGTGATGAAAGAAGGCACCCAATTGTGTCGTTTCTCTTTTCCGTACTGATGTTCCTAAGAGAAGGTCATTTGATCAGAAAGAATTCTTTGGGAACGGTGGCCTGGGAGAAAGTTGTTAAAACTGGAATGACACAAGGCATCACCAATAGGACAGGCCTACGTCTCAACTTCTCCCTGCTGTGTGCCTCCAGCTATAATTAGGACTGCTCCAATTAATCCATTTCATTAGCAGCCACCCAGATCCCGGTGTCAGTAGAACTTCCACCTTCTAAGGCAGAAGTTAGAAGAGATTAATTATTTCTTGATTCTTCCTCAGAATCAAGGTGGGATTCCAAGTTTAGACTTCCACGGAGCTCACAGTACCCCCAAGTGTCCCTCTGTTTTTCTTTCTTTACATGTGGAAAGTATCAGGATTAGCTGGCAGGAAGACTCTACCTCTGTGTTAACACTTCCATTCTCTCTACAATTTGTTTGCACAGTTTTTAAAACAATCACTTCTTCTTATGTGCTTCATTGTTCTTTCTCGCTGGTCCACACATCTTACAAAGTTATATCACCAAGCTTGAGATTTTGGGCTTGGACAACCTTGAACTACGCCACCTAAGGTTAGACGTAAGTGTAGTACACAAAATTATCTGCTACAATGTCCTACCAGTCAATGACTACTTCAGCTTCAACCACAACAATACAAGAGGACACAACAGATACAAACTCAATGTAAACCGCTTCAAACTTGATTGCAGAAAGTACGACTTCAGCAACAGAGTGGTCAATGCCTGGAATGTGCTACCTGACTCTGTTGTTACATCCTCTAATCCCCACTCCTTTAACCTCAAACTAACCACTATTGACCTCACCCCATTCCTAAGACGTCTGTAAGGGGCGTGCATAAGTGCACCATAGTGCCTCCCGTCCCTGTCCTATTGTCCCCATTTATTCATACCTATTTCCTGTATTCTTACTCATGTTTATACTTAAATCTATTATCTTATAAGTGAATGACAAATCAAATAATAAATAAATAAATAAATAAAATAATGTTGGGTGAATAATCCCACTCATTACAGCATCCCATTATGGGAGAACAGGATTGTTACAATTTCCTCAGCAAACCTTCCTTTAAAACTTTCCTGCCCGGGTTGGAACGATGCCAGCCGGTTGCATTGTCTTTGTTGCGGGCTCCTATTGTGCATTATTTTGTATTTTACACCTCCTAGGAGAGGATAAGTTGTTTGACTGCTTTTACTCTTAATGAAATCGAACAGCTTGTAAGGTGATAAAGCACGGAAGAAGAAACGACCTTTTTCGAACCAAGCGTAGTCACTGCAACTCATTACATTAGCTATTAGTCTGTACACCAACTCTCAAAAAACAAAAAAAGCATTTTGATTGTGGTTGTTGTTTTTTTTTTTTTTTTGCAAACAGACAAGATGTGTGAGAAAAGCCACTCTCGTTAATGGTGTCGGGGTTGCTTCAGGCAGGCATAATTCTGCAAGTAGTCCAAATGAGTGAGAAACGTTTTTTCAACCCATCCCATCCCTATCTTAAGGGAGAAACTTACAAACATAGCCTTTTATCCTCCTGCCAAGAGGTAGTCTGATCCAAAATAGAAAAGAACTCCTGAGATGGTGTTTGGCTTAGAGATCTGAAATCTGGAAAGGTCCCCCTTGTGAGCTGATCCAAGTTTTGAAGGGCCTTGAGCCACCTGCAGGCAGTGGGTTGGAGTCTACGAAAAGGAGGTTGTCCCCAGAACCAAGCAGAAGGCAGGTCAAGGCGCAGCATTAAATGGGCATGTAATTTAATTTCCATGCAAATGCAATGATATTAATTTCACACACTTCACATGATTACTCTTCATGCCTTTCATCTTATTCTCTTCTGCCAAATTAAAAATTACAATGAAACAACTTTTTGGAGTGGTTCCCCGGGGGCATGTGCAGCCTCGGGGACCCATTTAGCTGAAGCAAAAATAAGCTCTTCAGCAGAGCTGGGATGTTATCTGAGGCTGGAATGCTAATTTGCATAGAGGAGGTGAATGCAGTGAGTTAAACCTAAGAGCGAATGAATTAATTAGTTAGTTATCGCAATGAAAGGGCACCTCCTTATGTATACAAAGTGTATTCTGTACATCATTAACACGGCAGGTAGTTGGCCTTCAGATATTCAATTTGAGCTCCCTAGGAATCATCTCCAGGTGTCTCTATCCGGAGGCTGGAGTGTATTAACTTTGTTGGTGCAACTAGGTCATGTTGGCTTTGTGAATCCAGGGGCTCATTTGGATGTGAATACATAGAACTGACATGGGACTAACTGTTACCATGGTATATCCATCATATAGGTAAGGAACTGCATATGGTTGGATGCCAAATTCAGTTCCTCAGCTTGCATAAATGTGAACACAACCATGGATGCTATAAGGTCCGCTGTGGGCTCCTTAGTGCTGTCTGAGTTTGGCGGTTTGCTTGCAGACATTTCATTACCAAACTAGGTCACATCTTCAGTGCTAGAAGGAAGTGGGGTTTCTGGAGTGGAGGAGAAAGAGAAGGAGAAGGAGGAGGAAGAGGACTGGAGCTTGATTGTTTTCTTGCAGAAGTTTCATGACCAAACTAGGTAACATCATCAGTGCTAGAAGGGAGGGGTCATAGAATAATAGAGTTGGAAGGGATGTTGGAGATCATCAAATCCAACCTCCGCCCCCCGCTCGAGCGAGAGGAGGAGGAGAATGATTGTGGGGTCCTTGGCGGTCTCTGAGCTTAGTGGTTTTCTTGCAGACCTTTTGAGAATGGGGTTTGCTCTCTGTTAATATGTACAGTATAACTTCATTCCCTTCTAACACTGATGAGGTTTCCTACTTAATGAAACATCTGTAAGTAAACAACCAAGCTCAGAGAGTACCAAGGAACCCCACAGTTCAACCCTGAGCCATAGATGCTCTCTACTAAGGTCCTGGGTGTGTTATCAAACTGGCAATTTCCTTGGGCTTGCCAAGGAACCCATCAAGGTGTCTCTAGCTCCCCTCTGGACAGATCACACCTTAAAATGGGGGAAGGGGCAGCTACATGGATGGATTGAGGTCAAACTCCGCAACTGCCTCCCTCCCTCTCCTCCACCTTCCCTTGAACCCATGCCAAAGGGCCAGGCCCAAAGCCACAGTCATGTTGCAACCACATTTCTACCACAGGCATCTTCCGATCAATTGCAACATTAAGGTGACGTCATCCGGTAATTACCCGAAAAGCATTTCGAGTTGTAAAGGCGCACCCTGGGCACAGTTCTTTGATTCAAACCCAGCTGGGTTTTGAAATCTACCACTTCTCCTTGCCCCTCTTGATGAACAGGTTCACTTGTCCCACTCCCATTTCTTCCCAAGCAATTAATAAAAAATGGATCTGATGGCTTCTAAAGTTCTTTTATTCTTCACAGCTTTGCTTGGGGAGCTCAGAGCTTCGGGCTCTGCTGGAGAACAATCTTTTAATGTGGGTGGTTTCCAAGTCCAACTCAGAACTTGCCAAGAAGCGGTCGCTGGAGGCTCCATGATTCACTCCAGGGCCAAAGACATGAGAGTTGACTAGGCCTGTGTGGTTTTCATCACTCTCCTTCTCTCCCTCCTGTAGACCGAGCTCTCTTTGCAAAAAGAACAGCTGCAGCTGAAGATCGTGGAGCTTGATGATGAAGTGGACAAGTGGCACAAGGAGAGAGACCGTATCAAGGTGAGCACGGTGCCAATGTCCTCCCTCTTTGGTCTTCTCACGCTGGTCCTCGACTTCTCGTTTTTTGAGTTCGCTTAGTTTCAATCAGATCCTCCATGGCAACTGAGCCTTGACCCCTGTTGGTTGGACACCCATCCCACGTCAACGTGGCCCTTTGGGGATTTCATGATGCTGTGTCAAGCACTAGGGAGATCAGAAGATCAAATGGGTATAAATATTTATTGCAAGCTTAATCTCTCTTACAAGAATCTGAACTACTAACACTCCAAGAAAATTGGCAGTAGACAAGAGTCAATGGAATTCAGGGTAGGCTGGACTTAGATCTCTTGTGGGAGCAAAGGAACTCACGACTGATTCTGTGCTTGACTCCTCCCTCAGGCTTAGGTGGTCATCTCCTACATACTGCTTTCTGTTCATCACTCCATCAAGGTTTATCTGACTCAACTGGAGTTTATTGAGAATCGCTGCAAGTTTGGCTTGGATTTGCAATGCCGGAGTTCCATGGAACTTGGCGTGGTTCATTTTCTCTTTGCTAGAAACACCGACCTCTTCACTCCTTACTCTCCTCTTTCACCCTAGAGGTGGTGAGTGACATCATGCAGGGATGCTACCAGTCCACATTTTAATTTGTGCCACGTTGGCTTTTCTCAATGTAGCAACAGGACATAACTGGCTTTGTTGATCATAACATTTTGATAGGATTTCCCCACCCCAAGTCATAATCTGGTGCCCTGTAGCTAAAATCCATTTTTTCCCCCAAATGATTCACCCCAGAACAATGAAGATTAAATGTTAATCTTTTGCTTTGCAGGTATTTAATCTCGCCTCTACTCAAATTTCTCTTTATGTTTCCATCTCATTTAATCTTTTTGGTGGGATGTCATTGCTACGTCTTTGACTGCTCTGTTCCATACTTGTTCCAGTTTTCTAGGTCCTTCTTAAGGCATGGTGCCCAGAACATACTTCTTTCCATGACATGAGATCTAATCAAAGCAGAATCAATCCAGATCTCTTATTATGATTATTTCCTGTTAATTTTACAATAGTGATATCTCTAGTTTGGGGCTATACACACATACCTAAGAATCCTGAATTCACTCATACCCACACCTACTCCCAGAATTTCACAACATCATTTACGTATGATCTTCTTGCTGTGACCACAAAGAAACCCTCTGCGTTTTGGGCAAAATTTAGCAGAGAATTTTTATGTGAGAAGAAAAAAGTTCTCAGCAGAAACCAATGGCTTGACATGAATGGGCGATGAGAAGCATTATGAATGAACGAGGAAGCCAGAAGGAGAGAATTCATTAGATCTTGGCTGCATGTCGTAGCATGATATTTGCAGACAACTTCTGTGGTTTCTCCTTGCTTAGCAAATTAAAAATTAAAATACATGGTTGGTTCTTAGGTAGGAGGGTTCCTCCTCTGGGATTCTAAGCTGCTCAGAAGTTTAGTTGCTACAATGAAAGCATTTCTAATGTGAATGACAAAATCAAAATGACCACCTCTGGATTCTTTATTTATCCCATATTTAAATACATGACTAGGAAAATGAAATTTTGCTGAACTTATTACTGGGAAAAAAAAGCCAAGCTATATTCTTTTATCTCTAAGCCATACTCCAAAAAGTTGCACTCATTTACTATTAAGATTACATCTAGTTAAAGTTTACGCCCCAGTCCTGTGTTTAATAACTTCTCCTGTATGAATACTTTGAAATTACAATTTAATAGCTACTTTTGGAGATCTCTGGCAGTTATGCCCCAAGTCTTCAGGGACTTTGATTTATGGCGAGAATTTTCAGAAAGATTTAAAAATCCCTTGGTTTAAAAGTAAGGATTTTCATAAAAAAGAGAGCTTCACATCCTTACAAAATAGACAAGAGTCCTGTCCTGAAGGAAGATCTTAAAATTAATTTTTTTCCTGTGACCTGGCTGTTTTGGATTTTGAATGGGAAATTGGTTTTTCTCTTCTCCCTTTCGGGGTTTCCATTTAGAATTTTACAGCCAACGAAAAAGCCACGGTAGACCAGCATTTCAAAGAGCTGATCCGTGACATGGAGAAACAGCGTGATGAGGTGAAAGCTGGTCTGGATCACCGGGAGAAGGTGGCGGTGGAGAACATCAAGGAGATTGTGGAGGAACTGGAAGACAGAGTCAAACTGTTGCAGGAGGATAAGGAAACCAGGGAACAGATTGGTCTAATCAGCGACTCTGTGCTCTTCCTACAGGTACAATATTCTCAGGTGTTTGGGACAACCAAGTCCATCCACAAACATGATTTAAGCCTGATCAATTGCTAATGCATTGACTGCATGATATCATCTCCCTAGACTAAGAAAAGCTTCTATTTCCATGTCAATGTGTCTAGGCTTATCTGGTAGCGATGTTGCCCTCCTACTATTCAAATTGTGAATACATATTAATGGAGATGGTGCATGTTTATTCTGCCTGGCAGTAGGGCAGGATCCACCTGGGATAGCTTGTATAAGTTTAATTAGCCAAGGGAGAATTTAATTTGGTTTACATTAGGGGCAAACCTATCCCATTAAGTATGTGTTGAAATTGGCAGCCTCTTATATTTTTGCAATATAGATTGACATTGGAAAATTTATTTTGTTGTCTCCTCCTCCTCCTCCTCCTCCTCCTCCTCCTCCTCCTCCTCCTCCTCCTCCTCCTCCTCCTCCTCCTCTTCCTCTTCTTTTTCCTCTTTTCTTCCTCTCCCTCTTCTTCTTCCTCTTCTTTTTCCTTCTCCTCCTGCTCCTCTTCCTCCTCTCCTTTCCTCCTCCTCCTTCTTCTCCTTCTCCTCCCCCTCCCTATTCCCTTCCTTCTCTTCTTTTTTCTTTCTCTTGTCTTCTCTCTTCCTAGGAATTTGGAGCAATGATGAGAAGCTATGTTATCCCTCCATCTCTTCCGACATACAGCATCTTGCTTGAAGGAGAGAACATGAGTCCAGCCATGGGAATACTCAGAGATGACCTCCTGAATGTATGCATGAGGCACGTTGAGAAAATCTGCAAGGCAGACCTTAGCAGGAATTTCATTGAGAGAAACCACATGGAAAACGGTAGGTGTCCATTCAACTGTGGAAAGGGGCCACCTTGGGCCACACAGGTTGGGAGGGGAAAGTAGTTATGGTGAGATGCAGGTGGAGACATTTGTACCATGTTGATCCATTGTTCCCCATAACCGGGAGAACATTGTTGTAGTTGTACAAGTTACAAGTGCCTCAGGCAAGCTGGGGATGATATCATGGGTGACATCGCATCCGTTGCTTTTTGTAATGTAGATCTAGTAACAATATTTCATTGCTGAGTCTTACTGTTTTTACCTGTGTTGTGCAATCACTCATAATCCCAGCTAATATTTAATATAATTCTTAGTTAGATTGCTATCCTGAGAATGACAATTATGAAGAAGAAGAAAAATGCTGAATGCAATTTTGATCTCTCATTTCTGAGATACTTATCTCTAAAAGAGAGGTAGATATTCACCACCTTCTAGGAGGCAATGAAAACAAAAATGGATTCCTCCAGATACAGGGATAAGTAATCTTGATAGATGCTTAGCCCAGGGCAAGGGGAGGCTGGGGCAGGTGACCAAGGCATGATTTTTATTGACTTTTCATTTGGGAAGGAGATAGGAGGAGACAACTTGTTGAAAAAGTCTTCGATCCATTACTTGTTGAAAGTCATTGTGGAAACTTCTACCCTAATTCTTTGATTAAGATTTTCATCAAAACTACCTTGAGTTATTACTTGGCCAAAAGAAAGGTCTCCAAATTCTCTCTAACTTCAGGTGCCTCTAAAATGATGGTGATTTGGAGAGCCCCCAATGCATCTGGAGAAACGATAGATAGATAGATAGATAGATAGATAGATAGATAGATAGATAGAT